ACAGGTACCATGATAACCAGATAAGTGTTATTCACTTCACCAGTCAGTGTTCATAATGTAATGGCTGATGGGTGTAAGTATCAGTTTGGACTGATCAATCAATCAATATTAAAGGACTCTGATGTGTGCCAAAAAACATCACTGTGCAAAGTAACAGCTCCAGCAGTTTAAAGAGATCAGTCAGAGATTGACTCACCTCATGGAGGCAGAACATGGTTTCAAACACATCCTTCATCAGCAGCTCTTTCAGGTTTTCTTCAGAAAAGAAAAAAAGTATAAAAAATATCTCAAGGATTCAAGGTCATTTTACTGTCATTTACAACACTGGGGTGTATAATGACATTTGGATTATAATTATCTTTATACTACAAATATAAATGTATTAATAAGTCATAAAAAACAAGTTGTATTGATCTGTTTAATTGATAATCAATATTTATGTCTGCCTGTTGTGTGTGTGGAAGATATGTTATGTCATGTTTGCTGTATGTTTGCTGAAGGCCTACAAAGTCACAGATGACAAATTCTATTAAACTAATCACACTCACCTCCTGTGTTTATGAAGGTCTGATGAAGGATGAAATTGACAATTCGGATCCTGGACAAACAATAGAAAGTTTAATGAGTAGTAAATAGTAAAGTAGAGAAATTGTATCTGCAAGATCAGAATGAGCAGGTTAATATATATATATATATTACATGCTATACCCTTATTTTCAGCCCCAACATTAAAAAACCATGTGATATAAATAATTTTTGTTAAATCAGAGAAAACATTTTATCTGAATATATTTGAATTTCACCACAAGGGGACATTCAATATGAAAGGGATTATTATGCACTGGTTATTAATTAATAAATGTTCAAAATAGGCATTAACATTTTGGACACATCTAAATTTAAGTCTGAAAGACACTTCATTCCAAAGCACTAAAAAGCCAAGAGTTGAACACTGAAAACGGTCCCCTCAGTTAGCTGGTGAAATAGCTAACCAACTATCTCTATTGGTGCTGAAAACAACCCCCCCACTTGAAAATATTAACTCACAAACATTAAGGGGAGAGAAATGAGTGGGGGGAAATTGCAGAGAGGCCAGAAGAGTATGATAAAGTGCACGAACAATTAACATTGAAAAAAGATTAAATGGAGAATGACGCTCTGTCTGTGGAGCTTCCCTTTCCTGATGGTATGTCCCTCCAAATTTAAGACATTTATAGAGCTCTGTTGCAGAAGCCAGCACATATTTGCAACCTCAAATTGACAATGTCCAGAAAATGGAGACACAACTGAACTCATTAGATCTGCCAACCCTCACAGAAGATCAAAATAAAGCACTAATATCCCATAGAAAAATGTACTCTGACTGAAAGTTCACAGGCACGGCGGATTCCCTGCGCACTGGTATAAAAGTCTGAAAGAGGCCCTGAGAAATTTGTCACGTCAGACTCATTAGAAACATTAGATGATCCTTAAAAAAATTTTGACATATAAATCAAAACAAAATACAGGCTATGCTAATAAGTTTAGATGCTGAAAAGATTTGATTCTGTTAGATGAACATTTCTATTTAATGGAGAAATCTGGGTTTAATCAAGAAATTATTAAGATACCATAACTGTGCAGCCCTGTATCCTAGCAAGCCAACACAGAACAAAGAAAGACAGAAAAATAGTAGGCCTAAGCTTTTTGGCTGCCAAAAGAATGATTCAGCTAAATTGAAAAATCCAAAACAAAACCCAAATGTTTTTCAATGGAAACATGGTTATTTTTAATTTCTTAACCTTCTTGATATGTAACGGATAGCTGAGAGGCTCAGCGATACTGATATAATATATTTTCAAATGAATTGGGATAAAGTTTTAAAATGTGCTTCAGCATTGTATATTTGTAATTAATACAGACTACTGAAATTTAGGATCAAGTACACACTATGATAATTCAATTCAATTCAATTCAGTTCTATTTGTATAGCGCCAATTCATAACAGAAGTTAGCTCAGGATATGTATTATTACATTACTTGGTCAAGGCAGGATGACCACCCACCTAGAGCCGAAGGGTCTGTCGAGTTTCTGCCTGTTAAAAGCAGTTTTTCCTTTTGCCCCCGTCGCCAAGTGCTTGCTCATGGTGGTACTGTTTTGGGCTCTGTAAACTGTTAAAAGAGTTCGGTCTAAGACCTGCTCTATTTGAAAAGTGTCCTGAAATAACTTCTGTTATGAATTGGCGCTATACAAATAAAATGAATTGAATTGAATTATTATCAGAGACCTAAACCCAAAAATGAGAATAGTACTTTTTGGAAATGGGATAAAGTTATTTTGAGATTTATTTGGGCTGGAAAAAAAAAACAAGGGTAAAATAATAACATTTTACAACCAGCAAAAGGAGAAAAGTGGATTAGGCCTTCCATGTTTTGATGGATTACTATAGGCAGCTCAAAGAGGCCACTAGTTGGGCTTGGTATTAATAAATCAAGATAGAAAGAAGACAGGAAAGCTCAGTCGGAGATGGGAATACCAGTCAACACATTGGTTGGGCGGCTGTGGCTCACAGCAAAGCGGGTCTCCCTAATCGGAAGATTTTTGGTTCGATCCCCGGCTTCCCTCCTGCCACTTGTCGAAGTAGTCCTTGAAGCAAAGATACTGAACCCCAATTTGCTCCCGATGCTGTGGCATCAAGTGTAGTTCGATCCCCGGCTCCTCCTTTCACATGTCAAAGTATGGTGTGTGAATGTGTATGAATGAGTTAGTTTCTGTTCGATGGACTTCACTGCCATCACTGAGTGAATGTGTGTGAAAGCGCTTTAAGTGGTCTGAAGACTAGAAAGGTCCATTTACCATTTGGAGACCCTTCATTAACTCTTTATCTTTTCGATAACCCTTTGATAACCAGCTCCCTAAAGATATGGAATGAAATTAAGAGACCAATTGAAAGACAGGAATGAAATCTTTAAATGGTTTACCTATGACCCGGATTTCATGCCCAGTAAATACTACACAAGTTTTAGATGTTGGTCTAAAAATAGTCTTATTGCATACTGCACTCTCTTAAATCAAGGTATGTTTTTTTGAGGCTCCAGGACCTTAAGGACAACCTTAATTCACAGACTCAGGAAGAATCATTTTAGGTATTTATGAATCATAGATTATGGGGGGGTCACGTGATGCACTGAGGAGGATAGACGCACCTCTGTCGGTCTCCTCACTGGATTTAACTAAAACAATAGTTCTAGTTTACCCGTTGCTAAAATTGTGATTAAACTATCGCTAAACCTACATAGACGTTGGAAATGTCACTGGAAAACTTTTTCACTATGCCCAAAAAAAGAGAGCAACAAGTCTGCGGTTAGCGAAGCGCTAGCTAACCCATACGACGAAACAGAGCCAGAGCTAGCTAACAAAGAAAAGCCAGAATCCTGTACCGAGCCCGGAAAAGAGTCCGCCAACCCCACTAGCGATGGCACAGTGGTTCAGCAGGTGACGTGTAATATTGAGGAGATGCTGGACACTAAACTCGCTAATATCTTGAAACCAGTCACAGAAATGTCAGAAAAGCTAGACAAGCTAGTGGACAGACTGGGGACGGTGGAACAACGAGTGTCCGACTTGGAGGATAATGCAGCAGCTAATACACTACGGCTTGAATCGGTCAGCGCTGAAAAAAGCAATGGAAAAACTCAAGAATTATGAGAACCAGAGTTGACGACAAAACGTCAGAATTATTGGACTGAAAGAAGGCATTGAAGGCAAGAATCTACCCGTGTTTTTTGAGAAGTGGATTCCCGAGGTCTTGAACATGGACATGCAAGGGGAGTGGCTGAAAATAGAACAAGCTCACCGTGTGGGACCTCCAGTGCAATCTTACGCGCAGCAAGAAACAAGGGCAGAGTTACGACGGATGGTCAAGTAGTGTCTTTTTACAAGGACTTTTGAGGAGATTGTAAAGCGGAGGCAAGAATCTGCAGACGCACGCAGAAGGCTTCGGGAAGCGGGGATCAAATACGCTTTTGCGTATCCAGCTGTAATTAAGGTTCTCCCTCCAAATGGAAAACCGATCTCCCTTTCAACAATGAAGGAAATCAACGACTACGTGAAGACACTCCCGACTACCCAGTGACTGTATCAATCCACCTGTAATCAAAAATGCCTCAAAAATGACTGCTTATACAAATGAATAAAGAACGTCTTGCACAATGGACAGTGAGTACTATATAACATTAAGATAGCTTCTGTTCATCTTTAATTTAAACACACTTGTACATGGGTATTTCCCAGTTTACTTGAGCTGCTATTTACTACTATTATTTATACAGTCATTGACATGTTGGCATTATGGTTAGGACATAATCCAGATTGAGAGACCTGACATACTCTTTTTTTTTCTCTCACTTTGCCTCTTTTGCCCCCTCAGCTGTACTGCTATAGCTAGAGTATGACAAGGCTTTTGTTTTTTGTTTTTCTTGGCTCTGTTTTAGCCACGTTAGGTAGGTCTTATCCAAGCTTTAGTTTGTTTTTGCTTGGATTGTTCTTGTGTTTTTTGTTTTTTGTCCAGGCAGGATTTCAGATTAAAAGCATATCCAAGTTATGTTATAAGGTAAACAAGACTATGCAGCATGATATAATGTTACATTATTCTGAATATTAAGTTTTGTACCTGGAATATCAAGGGCTTCAATAATGTTGTCAAAAGGAAAGCTGTTCTAAACTATCTTAAAAAGGAAAATGTCCAGGTTGCTTTCCTCCAAGAAACCCATTTGAATGAGGAGGAGCACAAAAGATATCTCAGGGAATGGGTCGGACAGGTATATTTTACATCTTATTCTACAAATAAAAGGAGTGCAATTATATTAGTTCATAGATTGTTGCCATTTACAGCTAAAAATAGTAACAAAGATACAGACGGAAGGATAGTTCTAGTAAAAGGAGAACTATATGGAGAATCAGTGTTGTTAGGAAATGTTTATGCTCCTAATGTCTATGACGAGGACTTTTTTGCCTTCCTACTCAGTAAAATTGCTGAAATGGACTGTACAAATATGATAATTGGAGGTGATTTTAATTGCTATCTTTCCCCCTCTCTAGATAGAGAACCCCCTCATAAAGATCAAAATCTGGCAGAGCACTACAAAATTTTCTTGAGACATTTAACCTGTTAGTTGGTTGGAGATACATGAATCCTAATAACAGAAATTACACATTTTATTCTCCACCTCACTTGTCATTCTCACGAATTGACTATATATTTATATCTGAACACCTAGCCCATTTAGTAGAACAGTCTGGCATTGGAGCCATTGCCCTTTCAGACCATGCTCCTGTCACTCAGGAAATGCAGCCTCTTAGGCCCGCAGAGCGATCGTTCTCTTGGAAAATTAACGCATCACTGTTTCGTGACGATAATCTTATCAAATTCTTGGAAACGCAGACTGACCTCTATTTAGAAGTAAATGACTTTGATCCGGGATTGGTGTGGAAAGCTTATAAAGCTTACATGCGAGTCATGATTATATCATACTCTAGTAAGAAGAAAAAAGAGCGCACTCAAGAACAATCACAAATTGAAAAGAAAATCAAAAAATTAGAGGAAGATTTTCATAGATCCAAATCGGATGGGGTGCTTAAAAAGTTAAAGGAGGCAAGACTACTGTTGACTAATTTACTA